TGCACTGGACGAATCTGCCAGCAGTGGTCGCGTGCGGCCGGCGACGGCACGGTATGCCGCGGCGGCAGGGGAGGGGTCACTGGTGCGACAGGTGATGCGGTCAGGTGGAGGTCTGGGCTTTCTGGCTACGCATCCGTCCGGGGTCGATGGCGGGGCTTAGTCGCATTAGCGCCGATGGACGTCCGACATGTGATTCGTGCCTTGACGTGCCTGTTGCCCGACTGAAGCATCGTGTTTATCGAGCCACACTTGTCAGCCACGCGTAGGATATCAACGACGCATTGGATCGTTGGGCAGGAATCATCCCACTGCACGCGAACCTTGTCTCGTACCAGCGTCTGCGGAAGCCATGCGAACCTTGTCTCGTACCAACGTCTGCGGGAGCTATGCGAACCTCGTCTCGTACCAGCGTCTGCGGAAGCCATGCGAACCTTGTCTCGTACCAGCGTCTGCGGAAGCCATGCGAACCTTGTCTCGTACCAGCGTCTGCGGAAGCCATGCGAACCTTGTCTCGTACCAACGTCTGCGGAAGCCATGCGAACCTTGACTCGTACCAACGTCTGCGGCAGCCATGCAGACCTTGACTCGTACCAGCGTCTGCGGAAGCCGTGTGAACTTCTAATAAGAGCCGTATTGACTCGCTTGTATTGCGACGCAACCCGCACAACAAACTCTTAATGTCTGAGAACGTCCCGACCACTTGGCTTGCTCACGCGAACATAACTTACCTAGCAATCCTAGACCCCTCCAGCCTTAAAGCACCAATAAGGCGTGCGTGTGGACGCCGGTCACGCAGCGCTGGACGGTGCTTTGTGCGGTTTTCTGTCCCCCTGCCCCGATTGCGACTGCGGCCGTTTCTTTAATCCAGTACACGGTTGTGTGAGCCGTTGCAATGTTTCGACGCTAAAGGAGTTCAAGGGACATGGTGATGTGTACGGGTTCGCCGGCCACATTGGCTCACTGTTTTGAACAACCCCGGAGATGGCTGCGCCGGCCGACAAGAGTGCTCAGAAAACAGAGCAAAAAACAACTGTGTATCCAACTTCTAACGCATTAGTCATCTGGCATTTTGCTGCGTAGACTAATATGAACATTTTCGCTATTAGGTTCAGTTTCTTGATGCTGAAATCGAGTAAACATCGCACATTATCCCGTCTATACCATTGAGCCTGCACCATATTTTTTATAAACTTTTGTTTTCAAACGTGCTGTAAGACAAAGATGAACATGAAAACCAGCTGGAAGGTAGTGGTCAGTCGGTGAAATAAAGAATTCACAGCTACAGCTGTTTCTTGATGCTGAAATCGAGTAAACATCGCACATTATCTCGTCTATACCATTGAGCCTGCACCATATTTTTTTTATAAACTTTTGTTTTCAAACGTGCTGTAAGACAAAGATGAACATGAAAACCAGCTGGAAGGTAGTGGTCAGTCGGTGAAATAAAGAATTCACAGCTACAGCTGTTGTAGGATGTGTAGACCTAATTAAAAAAACCGAAACCTTACACCAGCAAAAACGTGGCGGTAACAAAAATAGGAGAACAGTGCACGCCATTGAAACATCAGTAGAGTAAGCATTGGAATATGGTGTTAGAAAAGTGCTGCCATTGCGGTGAATGTTAGCCCATGATATGTTTAACAGCAGTTTTAGACAACAAAATCAAAATCGATAATGTTTCCGACTTTGTTGGTCCTCCTGAACTTTTTGAGACGGTCATTCCTCACAGCGTTTAGTTAGTCCTCACAGCGATTATTTAGTCCTCACGGCGGTTAGTTAGTCCTCAAAACGGTCATTTAGTCCTCGCAACGGTTAGTTAGTCCTCACAACGGTCACCACCCCTGCTAGAACACACGTTCTACCTTGGCGAACTCATCCTGACAAGTGAGCCAGGACAGCAAGTCAACAGGATTTCAAGACGATCATTACCTTACCTCCACTTAGAATCTACAAATGCATGCATGCTGGCATCAGCGTTCTAAAAGTAACATTTCGAAGCTCAAAATTGCCGAGAAAAACACAAATTGATAGATAGGATGAATAAAGGAGCAGGCTGTAAAGGCCTAGTTCCGCTTGATAATGCGCTGTTGCGTCAGGTTGAATTATTTGCTAGGAGACGCCTTCGTTGAAAGCCATAGCCTGACATTGATCTACCATAGTACAGCTGCATTACAAGGTGGAACTAGGTCTTGATACCAAAAGGTCGGATATTCAATTATTTGCACCTACGCAAAGTTCGGTGCAGCTGCACCGCGCTGTCAGATGTCATTTTGGAAAAAAAACTTCAGGGAGGAGGGGGCAAAAAGACGTGACACCTGATGAAGCGACGCGAAGCAGGCGTTAAACGTGATGATGCATCGGTGATGTTGTCGAAGGATCTCCCACACTCTCCCATGGACTGAACCCTTTTGGTGTCTACCTACGGCGTCGTGGAATGATGACGCTGTCCACCTTTTGAAAATATATCGCTTTTCTGTTTCGCTTCTCTATGCGGACCAGCAGTCCATGCAGGCTATGTCAGACCTTTATGGTGTTATTTACTGCACTTAAGCGAACATAGAAGTTCTGGTAAACTTTGAGGAGAAAGTCACTTCTATCCCTGTCTCCTGAGTCTCAATACTTTTTTGAAACGGGCATCTCAATATGCAGAATTTAATGGGGTGCTACCAAAGATGCATAGTTCAGGTGTTTTTAGCCCACGCCTTAAAACAAATTGCAATGTCTCAAGTACTTTAAAAATAATTTTGAACCTTTTAAATGGATGAGTTTCTGAAATCGAAGCTCACCCTAAGCAGCTCGTGTTGCGTGAGCCCCTCTACCACAATTCCAGATTCACGGCAGAATTAGGTGGCGAAAGTTTCACGAGCCGTCCAGCACGGACCGTCCTGACATTTAACGTCACCTGATCTTTCGCGCGAACGCTGCCACCGGCCGCAGGCCATGCCTGTCAAGGAAAAACAGCTAGCACCTAAAGAGACTCGAACCCAGCCCGCCACGAATGAGTGGACTGGCAGGCAGGCGCTCTAATCGACTGGGCCATAAGGATGGGCAAGCAGCATTAACAAACCATTCCGGGATGCAATCATAACTGCGATGCGATGGAAGCCAATCTTTAATGCGATGAATGTACGAATCCGAAGACACGAAGTGGTGTTTCCATGCATATTTGCTTCCAGGACAACCTATCCAGGGGCCTTGCACGTTTCTGTCACGCAGGCTCGTACACGGCCGAAAGAACACCTTCAGCCTTGAACAAACCTTAAAAAAAACATTATAAACCTTCAACAAATCTTCAAAAAATCGAAAGCACATCGCCGACGATCCGTTTAAAGATTGGCTTACCAAGTGACATTCTCGTATCATTGATATGCGGGGTTCACTGCTTCCATTCGTCGTACCCAGCGGTCTCGACGCCAACGGCATGACTTGGGCACTTCCCCAGCGGTCTCGACGCCAACGGCATGACTTGGGCACTTAATGGCGGCAGCTTTTTAAGGCCAAAAACGTGCCCGCAACCGACATTTTACTTTTTCCCTCGTGACCTTTGACCTTTGACGTGACCTTGGCTATCAATGGGTATTGGTTATCAGTAAGGTTATCAGCCAGGTTATCGGCTTCACAGTTTTGACAAAAGCCGTAAGTGGAGCCCTATGTCTCTTTTAATGTCATTTATCGAAGAGTCGCTGAAAGGTACCAGCAGCAGCAAAATTATGTTCCATTTACTGAAGAAGAAAACAGATACTCCGTTCACCATTGCCTTTCATAAAGCGCTGCCCTCGGCCGCGACTATTTGCATCCACCATTGCCAGTGGATACCACCGATACCCACTATCTGCGATGTCACCTTAATAGTAAAATCTGAGTGAAATATTTTTTCACAGACGGAGGCCACTCTCATAAAGAGACCAGTACTCAACATATGTAATGAAAGAGCGTATCACCCTGTCGTTTGCGCTCTTCCGCAAACTGCATTTACTTGGTAGTGTTTCACAATTGCTCTTATATCCACTACAAGATATAGAAGACAGTACCGCCTATTCCATCGCAGATAGCAGCTTTTACTTTATTTTTACGGCTTGGTCCTACTAAATGCAGTTTTGAATTCAACTTTTTCAGGTCAAGCAGAGAATCCCAGTTGCAAACAGCAAATTTTCAACGCCCAGAAGTCCAAAGAGCATATTTTTCCTTGCGCGCGCTTTACCGTCGCCATAACCACACGAAGTGAGAAAGGATCGTACTGGAAGTGCCCCTATGTGGCTCGTACCTGTCAGTGAGTCAATGTTACGGCCGAGATTTTGTAGAATTGTTGCATGCTTACGAGAGCACGCGTGGAAAAAGCAAAACATAACACCAAATTTAAAAAAAAACAGCTAGGCCCTCTTACGCGTTAAGCCCAAGCACAGTTTTTCGGCTTCCACCTAACCCGAATGACCGCGATGAATACACTGCCCATCGCTGTCGACACACAGGTGGGCGTTTGAACGCCACGGGGCGCGATTCGCCACCACCGGGGCAACGCTGCGGCCGGTAATGTTTACGGGCAATGTGGGCCAAGCACAGCCTGTTGAATCGATAGCGCCTGCTGTCGGCCCGGTGTGGCCGATGCAACAAGACGGTCCCAACTAAATCAGACTGCTCCGCCCGATCCATCTGGATTAGTCGTTCGTGCTCCCCGTCCGTCCATCTTCGTTCCTCTCGGCCCGGCCATGGTGCCCCGTGGACAATCAATAGGCAAGGGCGCCGCGGACGGGTTTCTTCTGGCGGCGCTCTCCGGGACTGGAGGCGCCCGGCTGGTCGCGGCGCGTGCCGGCGCACGCGCCGACCAGGTGTCGGGCACCTCCGCCTCGGGAGAATCAGTAGCTCGGCGCGCGGTCCGCCAGTGGTGCTACGCCGCGGCGCGTTGGGGCTGTGCGGTGCCTCGGGACGACGGGAAAAGCGGGACGAGCTGGGGAGAACTGGGACGTGCCGAGGCGAGCGACGGCGATGGAGGAGGCGGCCTACATGGAGCGCGGTAGCTGCACACCTTCGTACAGCTCCTCCTGCTCTTCCGAGGAGACGCTGACGGGCTCGGAGGAGGACGACCTGCCGTTCCCGGGGTTCGCACCCGTCACCTTCCGCCGTCTGGAGCAGACGCACCCGCTGCGCCACATCTGTCTGCGGATGATCACCAATCCATATCCTTTTCAAACGGCGGGATATGTCGTGTTTGCGTTTGGTGCGTTGATTTTGTGTGTCAACTATTGGAGCCTGAAACTGCAGCAGCGTTGCACGCCGCCCGAACGCAGTCTAAAAATCAAGTAAGCCGACGCTTTGCACGTTAGTCTGTGAGTCTAAATCCCCTATTTTCTTGATGACAGTCATAACATGGGAGCTCATTGATGCGGAACTCATCACGACTGCAGGCAGTGAGTGTTTTCTCACGATGACCAGCCATGGTGCCAAGAAGTATCGCTGGCTTTGGAAGCGGTTCTGTGATTTGGATTCTGGCTTGCTTTAATTTCCACTGCTCATCAGGCAAATGGTTATGCATAATTATCACACTAGACACTCCAAGGATGCAATTAGGTACATTTGCTCGTAGCCTGTAACTTATAACACAAAATCGACTCTTCAATGAAGGCAAACGGCTGATTCGAGTCGCTGGTATGCGACGTTTACTCCTTTCATTAACGCTCTGTAGAATGAATCCATGCTCTGCTCGGGACGAATGCAAAACGTGGCATTCCCACGGCGACAAAGCTGTTTATTTTACGAACTGAACCGAACTGAACTGCGTGATGTATCTCGAAGATCCATGTAACAGTCCAGTCCGCCATTTCCAAACCATTGCGAGTGGGATGCTCAGACAACTTCCGATGGGATGCTTAGACCACTTCCGGTGGGATGCCGATGCGCGTGTCGCGCCAGGCCGCGGCGGACTTGATTACGGGACCAGCGAGACTCCCGGGCGGTGCTCGCCCGCGATCCTCTGATTGGACGCATGTCAATTAGCCGTAATGCGTCGAGATTCACCGGCCATGCTGTATCGGATTTCGGTTGAGAGCTGTGATTAGCTTCCCCTCGCCGTGGTGCTCGCGGGCCGGAGAGCGGACCACGCGAAGCGACCACCACGGTCTGAGGGCCTTGTCTGGTAAGAGTCAGACCATGTTATCCCGGTGCCTCCCCAGATAAGACGCTCTGCTGCCAGTCGCCTAGCCGCGGATATGCCGCTCTTGTGAATGGTTATGACGTCAGCGGCCTGCCTCGGTGGGTCTGTGGCCTGAGGCGCAGGGGATTGGGAGTGGATGAGGCTCCGTTCGTTCCCAGACTTTCGCCTATTTTGGCTCCGGTAACGAGACTCATGAGCACCGTAATGCGTCACGTATCTGGAAAGTGATTAGTCCCTTAACTTCTACGCGACCGTTTGGACGCACTGAGTGTCATTTCGTGCTATCGTTTCAGTTCATGTTTCACTTTGTAATCGCTCTAGTTAAGACGAGTTCTGACGAAGGGACGTCATTCCGGAATTAGCAGCTCAGTGTATTGACATCGGTTCAGACCGGTGATCTAAAGAACCTGGAATGCTTCAACCCACCAAAACATGGGATCTTAAAACCCCTTGGGGGGGAGGGGCATCAACATCGTACCGGACTTATGCTTCGCACACAACACAATGATTCGCATAAGCAGAGGTCAAGAAAAAGAACTGGTTTGCATTTTAGTAAAGAAAATGGGCAAAACCATTCCGTAAATATAATGGTCAGCTCTATATATCTATCCTGTTTTGACTCTAGAGTTTATGCGTTCAAGATTAAATAACATAACATTTTGTAAAAAAACAATAACATTTTGAAACCTGTGGACGGATATTATTGAGTCTAACTGGTTTGAAACAAAATCAAAGAGCTGCAAACTTTTGTAGCTTGGGCATGCTGTTGCCTAGACAAGTTATGCACTTACCTATTGGAAGTATCGATATTTTCCGATTTGGTTTCGTATTAATTTGGTATTGACCTACTTGACGGAGGTGCTTTTCGAATACCGTGCCCCTATTCAGGCTTCGGATTGCATGCTGCCATTTGACGCTTCTGTGACACGTACCGGCAAACTGGTATGTAAGCCGATGCAAATAAGGCGGCATGGTATTTTAACGTGCAAAAAATAAATGCACCCAATATCAACGCTAACTGGTTGAACTGACTACTTCTATGTCAATGGGTCAAAATGCGGGGATTCATTATTTCGAATGCCAGCGCGTACGCAATGATCATTGAAAACAGTTGGCCGCCGCAAGCCGTAGAGCCTAATACTTTCAAAAAGTTCTCATTGTGCTGAGGTGCGGTAGAACCTTTTCAAAGCATGTCGTCAGTGGTCACAACTTGTAGCGTTCTGTCCTGATGTTTTTTCTGCTTCTTGCCGCATTGTGTGATTTGAATTTGCAAATACACTTTTGTCAAACAGAGAGATACATCCAAATGATAGGCCCATCCTGGAAATCAGTTATCGTATCATTACAAGTTGAGGAATATACTGCACACAATTTTGCTGCCCTCATCTCTATAAACTGATACGTTTGCTGTTTTTTTGCCTTGCGCTATGCGAGCTCCCCCTCATTTGGAGCGACCGAATAAGCCCTATCTAATGACTGATAACACAATCGCAACGTAAACTATCTGGTCTGGCCCCGCTGTCTGGTCTGGCTGCCGCTGTCCGGTATGGCCCGCTGTCTGGTCTGGCGTCCGCTGTCCGGTATGGCCCCGCTGTCTGGTATGGCTCCGCTGTCCGGTATGGCTCCCGCTGTCTGGTCTGGCGCCGCTGTCCGGTATGGCCCGCTGTCTGGTCTGGCGCCGCTGTCCGGTATGGCCCCGCTGTCTGGTCTGGCGCCGCTGTCCGGTATGGCCCCGCTGTCTGGTATGGCCCCGCTGTCCGGTATGGCCCGGCCCGGCCAGGTCGTCACGTTTTTAGGAGCTTATACGTTCGCGAGCGGGAATTTCAGCGTGAATCTGCTTTTTCAAAAGTAGTTAAGCGTTAATCTGCTCCCTGGGTGATGTTCTGCGTAAGATTGAAGGTGGCTGCAACCAAATGCTTGTAGGTGCTTGCAACCAGAGCTTGAGGGTGCTTGCAACCAAAGGCTTGAAGGCGCTTGCAGCCATGATCTTGTGGGTCCTTGCAACCGAGATGTTTGGCCGGACGTTATTCTTCGCAACCTGTGAACGCGAGGAAGACGTATCGGCCCACTTCACGACAGCGTGGGAGACACAACATTTACGACCCGCAAGAAAACATCTGAAGAGTCGTTCTTCAACGCAAAGCAGTTAAGAAACACAACATTCTTGATTTCGGGAACCTGGTAGTTTAGTCACACAAGATCCACACCGCTCGTCGGGAGCAAATCGGCAAAAATCACTTTGGTAGAAGGGCTGTGAATGAGAGCAGCCGATCATGTGCCTTTTCATCAAACACTTCTTGAAGTGTTTTGAAGAACCGTTTGTTCTTGCTCGCCGCAGGGAAAAATAATAAAAAATCCACGGCGTGTTGTTATGGTGATCATTTCCTCTTATAACAATTAAGATACATTTATTTTATGGTTGGTGGGGAATCTGTGTAAAAGTGAATGCCGAAGCAAATTTTCAAGGCGATTCGTTCTATGCTTTGCCATTGGATTAATGCTTAGCATTGTTGTAGAGTGAAGATGCTATGGTATTCAAGGACCCGTTCCTTCACATGTGCTTTGTGATTTTATACTAATATCCAAATTTTGCGTATTTATCCTCTGAATAACTGTCCACTTTTATCCTTATCTCTGTTGACAGCTGTCGCATCATGAGTATATAATTTCCTGCCTGGCGTTGAGTGTGTTTAGTAACCCCCTGCCTTACATCGCACGGTTTATCAGTCTGTGACTTGGGGCTGATGCGGAACGTCAATGTTTTGTTTGATAGTAGCTTTCTCAGGCATTGATGCTTTGAGCTAGATTCTGCACAATGTCTATAGCTTGCATTGCAAATTGGCTTGTTGATGTGACTTGGCCTGTGGCCTGGAGCCTGTTGTACTAAGTGCTTAGCGGAAACAAGGTCTGCATTATTAACTGTGACCTTGAAAGATGTGAAAGCTGCGAAGTTCCCTGCTGAGTTGCGCAAAAATTGTGTGCCGTGCTACTGCTCGCGGTGTGTGTGTGTGTGTGTGTGTATGTGTGTGTGTGTGTGTGTGTGTGTGTGTGTGTGTGTGTGTGGTGTGTGTGTGTGTGTGTGTGTGTGTGCGTGTGTGTGTATGCCGTAAACTTGTAAAAACGTGCATGCCTCGCGTTTTATATGTGTCCGTAGCGAATTCAAAGCAGTGTTCGACATGTGGTCTGATAGTCGGCGAACAGTGTTCGCCATGTTATCCAATAGTGGGAAGGTTTGCGTCGTAGCAAAAAAATATCACGAAGCTTCCGAACTCGGCCTGCTGCTGATTGGCTTAGACTTGACTGCAGGTGCAGCGAGTGCTCTTATTGGACGACAGATGAAATACGAGCAGATACACCGTCAAACCTATGCCCAAACCGAGGAGAGATCATGCGATGCGCGCATGATCAGCTAGCTATCTGCATGCGCTTACCCGAGCGGTTTGTCATCACGTGGCTCCTTATTAGAGGCGTTGCCATGTGCATCACAAAGTGGCGTAAGTGGCCAACTGTTTGGTATGCATTGGTTTCGAACAATGATGTATGCATGCCGGTGTGAATTTGCGCGTTAAGGTCGTTGTTAAATCCATTTTCGGGCTGTGAGTATGCCAGGATCTGCATAATGGCGTTACCAGTGACGTCATTTTCAGGCTATTTCGGCCCTAAATTCGCCGGATAGACCCAGTAGCCTAAACCGGTTCTGTTCAGCTTATTTGCGTAAAAGGCTCGAGCTGGCGCCGGCGTGGATCTTTTAGCTGATCGCGAATGGCGATAGGATGTTTACAAACATCTGAATGTGTGATAGAAAATAAACAATGCCTCGAGAAAATCTGGAATCCCTTTAGACGCACAAAAGTAGTGAACATTGCCAGCAGCGTTTCTCTGTTGGCTGTAACGTGTCTTCTGGACGCGGTTATTTGCTGCGGTACAGCACCTAGATGACAGTGGACGCACGAAAAATGTATATACTTGATAACGTGCCTAGAATGTTGGCTGCCTATACTGGTCAGCCTTGGCTACATACGCAGT